ACAAGGGCCAGCGTCCTGCAGGTTTTAGATGTGTCCTTGGTCTAACACAGCTGATTTAAATGGATAAATGACCTCCTCAACATGTCTTGAAGTTCTCCAGAGGCCTGATAATAAAACTAATCATCCGGTGTGGTGACCAGAGATGTTAACAAGTAACGCGTTACTGTAATCCGATTACTTTTTTTGAGTAACGAGTAAAGTAAGGGATTACTATTGCAAAAACGGTAATTAGATTACTGTTACTTTCCCGTAAGCACGCTGCGTAACTGCGTTACTAAAACCGTGATTTTCTTGCGAGAGTGTCTCATGACAATGACGTAAGCGAGTGCGACGTTCGTGGCAACAGCTGTGTGCAGATCAACAATGGATAATATGTCGAGTACGGGAAACAGTATGAGCATGCAGCGTTTAAAGCGTGGAAGTACTGACCTTACTTTGAGTTTGATTCCGTAAAAAGTGACAAAAACATTAGCGTCCGCTGCTCACTGTGTGGGAAGAAAACCCCTAAACTTCCGAGCAAGCACCGAGTGCGCTACCACGTAATGTGAAATTCACAGAGAAACTCACGGATTCTTCAACTGACCGCTGCGACACACCTGCACCAGGGTAAACCTCCGCCTACGCCACTCCTGCTTTACAGGTGAAAATAGAGCAACAGGACCGCTAGTCTTTGATTTTATTTATTTTCTGCTGTGTTTCACTTGCATTTATTTGAAAGAGTGTAAACACAAAAAAAAATGTATTTTATGTGCTGGAATGTGCAGAAAATAGGTTTAAATGTTAAACAAATTTCTTCCAGTCAGAGAATGTTGCATATAATTTAATTTTTGCTTGATGCATAAAGTTAAAAGATTAAAACTAATAAAACAAGTTTACAAAATTAGACTTTTCCCTTTGATTACATTTTGTATGATGGATTATGCAGAAAAAGTAGAATTGGGCTGAAAGATCTATCACTTTATTACCTATTCAGGTTGTAAATCGTGTTTTTAAAAAGTAACTAAGTAATTAATTACTTTTGAAAATAAGTAATCAGTAAAGTAACGGGATTACCTTTTGGGGGAAGTAATCAGTAATTAGTTACTGATTACTTTTTTCAAGTAACTTGACCAACACTGGTGGTGACCCCCCCACACATGGTTGCACTGAGTAGGAGACTCTGTATGTCATTGTACATTGGTATAGTGACAATAAAGGTATTCTATTCTATTCTATATCTAAAACCATCAGGACACCGGCCCCTGAGGCCTGGAGTTCCCCAGTCCTGCACTACAGAAAGGAGGCAGTAGCCCCCCCGCCCCCCGTAGATCCGCCCCTGAATGCCAGCGTCGGTATCCATACTATCGGTATTTGATTGATCAACCCACTTCAAATGATCATAACAGGTAGGTTTAATACATGTACTGAGCATAGCCATGTCCCCTGTAGACAAAAATTGTAATTGTCCCTGTTCTACAATTATCGCAAAAATATATTTTGCCCCCTGTGATGCAAACTAATATTAGATTATTAATATGTCCCTTGTACTTCCATGACTGCTATTTAGATATTTGGGCCACCCGAAAATGATGCCGAGTGAGCTCTCATCCTTTTTTTCCCTCATCTCCTGGGTGGACCAACGGCGACGTTTCTGCCCAGTGACGCAGAGACGTCAGCAGTCGGTGGGCGGAAAAGCGGTAGTGTGTTTCTGTAAGTGCAGATAAAGGCGAACCGGGTGTTTTTATCAAGTCCTTTCATACAGGGATAACGTACGACTTTAGTTCCGAGCCTGGTGAAATGGCGGTTCCTGCGGGTCAGACGGACGTCCAGATGGACCGCGGCGCCCTGAGCGGCCAGACGGTTTCCTCCGAAAACAACATAGACATCGACGAGAAAGAGTTGGAAAACATCACAAAGAAACACCGAGAAGAAGACACGGCGACGCTGCCTCTGCACTCGCCTTGGACGTTTTGGCTGGACAGGTAGTGATATTACTGCGTCTCCTTCCGCGTTGTCTTTGAGCTTTGAGCCCGGCACGAGCACAAACAAAGAAAGAAAAGAGAAAAAAGATGAAGAGCGGTGGTGGGGAGAGGGGTATCATTGTAAGGCCACAGCTTTTCCGGAGGCCTCCCGCAGCAAAATATAGCGGGAGAAGTGTTCGCATCTAACGCGACCTTGTTGTGTTCCCGGGTCCTGACAGTCACTCACAGTCCGCAGGACAAGTTCGCCTTGACAGGTTTTAGCCATTCAGACGTGCAGCAGAAGTTACTTTGATTAGCTTCTCTCAGCAGGGGGGAGCGCAGAAGGGAGGGTTTGGGGTGAAACTGATAGTTGTTGCACTTTTCTTTAAAACCTCGACGCCTTTAAAGAGCCCAGGCTCATCTCTCGTTGTTTTCACAAACGGCTAAGTGCAGCTAATCTGCGTCTTTTATTGCAAGGCTTTGCTACATAGGAACCCTTGCTCGGTGCAGTTTCGTCCTAAGCCGTCATTAAATGCAGCCCTAAACGTCGCATGGCTTCTTTTTTATGAGGTCATGGGAATATCCCATGTTTATCATGGATACTCTGCTGGTTATTGTTGATTTATTTATTTTAATAATAACACTTTTAGCTTATGTATTTGCTGGCAGGAGTTTTATATAAAGGAATGAGGACTGAAAAACACCCAGATTATAGAAACACACATACAATAGTTACCTGCTAAAATATACGTTTGTATGTTATCAACGTATATATTGGACTTTATGCGCATATTAATAGGGTCTCTTTTATAGTGTTTTGGTTTTCATTTATCCTTTTTTATGTTCTTTTTCTAACAAAGCTCTGTAACATGTTACTCAGTCTTCGTCTGTCTATAAAGTCAAGCAAGTGAAACTTATTCAGCAGTACTTTATAATAACAGCGGCTGCATCAAGCATATCTGGTGTCAGCTTTTTTAATATTACCATTATTTCCCTGTTAAACGCACTGCATTGTTTTTGGTGTGACATTAAGTCGTTTCATGTGTTCCTGCAGGTCACTGCCCGGCACCACAGCAGCAGAATGTGAGTCCAACTTGAAGAAGATCTACACAGTGCAAACTGTTCAGGTGAGATCTAGCGCCAGCTTAAAGAGTTTTTTCATCTTAGGAGCAAAGAGATCAAGTGCGTGACTCGGCTAAGAGTCAGAGCCATTTGAGAAGAGTTTCTGTGATGTAAGGGAGCGAGCAGGTCAGAGCCACGGTGGGTGCAAAACATTAGAAGTGCAGTGCAAAGTTAACTGACAGCTTTTATGAAGTGCATTTCAGCCGTCTGCGTTATACTAAAGTTTTTTTTTCTTTTTACTTGTATGTGCACACTTATTGTTTATTAATATCACTAATGTGACTGACGGTAGCTACTGCTCGTGCTCGTGTTGGTTACAGTGCTTTGATATGATGCTCTGAAGGCTTCTTTTGTAAATGAAGAGAAGACGCTGTGTTATTTTTATCAGGAATATCAGCGTGCAACGTGCTCTTAAACTTATTGTATGAGGCTTATTGATGATTTACACTTAAGTAAAGAATCTACGCCTTAAGTCATAACTGCAAACCCATCTGAAACCCTACAGCATAACCTGACATGTACCTCCTTATAGAAGATACACATCAGCGCAGCCCACAGCCACTGTTGGCCTGATCAAGGCTGTGGGTTGCCTTTTTAAATTTCTGGCAACTTTTTTGCTGCAGTTTTTCAGTAAGAGAAGTAACAGTCATTGTCTTAGTATAAAGAATAATAATCATGGTGTCAATATAAGCACTCATAAATGTCTGCAAATTTCCGGAGGGAGGCTGCTGAGACCATTGGAATGGGGCAGCTTGTGTAGATGACATCGAAGGCTCTACAAAGGTTCCCCGCAGAAGTCTAAATCAGGCTTTACGATTGTATAGTTCAATGGAGTTTGAATCAAGCAGCTGGAAAAAGCAACAAAGTGTGATACAGCCGGGCTCATTCTGGAGTTTTGTGTGTGGAAATTCAAGCAGCGTGCAGAATGCGTTGCCATTAATTACAGCTGCAGTGGTGTGAAGCTTTGTTCAGGCGAATCAGATTTGTTTCTTAAATTAGATTTTTAGGACGGACTGTTTGGTTTTATTATTTGAAATCACAGAGACACTCGCGATACACAAAAGCATTACGTTGCTCGTGCTAACGATGATATCACAGAACAGCACTTCTGCAACGCAGTGCAAGGCAATCTGTGACACAATGAGATCTCTGTGTAACTGAAGATGGAAAAGTTGACACATTAAAAATTTTTTTTAACTGAGAGCAAGGATTCTATTTTTACCACATTAGTGTTATCAGTGTCTGCCAGTATTAATATAATTATTATGATTATTGCTCCGCTGTTGTCTCATTTTTCCTATTGAGTTTTGTCTTCACTGCAAGTTTGTTAGCGTGTGCTTGTCCCTCTGTCGTTCACCACGAGGAGTCATGAAGTCGCAACTCAAGTTAGTTTGTTTGGCTTTGTGTCACATGAATCAGTTGTTCACCATCTACAAGCTGTGGCTGGTAACCCTGCAGCTCACTGGACCTCCAGAGCTAAAAAGCTGGTCTTACCGCAGCAACAACCTGGCCAGTAAGCCTCCAAATACATAGCAGATATTAGAATGCTTGGGCAGCCCACCCATTTAAAGAGGAAGAATTATATGAATTGCAATCAGTGTGCCTTTTCCATATTTGCAAGTGATCAGATCAAAATGTAAAGCCAGACGTCACAAACCTGTCTGCATAATTTGCCGTTCCAGTGTTGGCATCGGTGTCCATGTAGCTATGCTGGTGAAACAGCCTGATAAATTGTCTTGTTCCGGTTGGTTCCTCCAGCTTTGCCTCTTTAGAAGCCACTTCCAAAAGTGGCAGCAGATACATTTATTTCAGTTTCTGTCTGCAGACTGTTGCCCTCTATGTTGTCCTCCACAGGGCTCTGTTGGTAGCAACGTGGATTCTGCTAAATATGTCTGTCACTCTGGATCTGCCGCTGTGCTTAGCATAGTGAGGGACTTGAAAGGCACTTTGAAACCCAATTTGGGCAGGCAGAGCAGGTGGACTGAAACATGTCTGTAGAAATCCAATTGGAATTGCTTGTCAAACTAAGACCTAATTTATTCCTCAAAGTCCCCCCACAAGCTGTGGAAAATGCAAATAAAAGCAGATTGCCATAAACTGTAAATCTCATAAACCCCCATTTTATTCACAAGACACCATAGAAAACATGTCAAATGTTTAAACTGAGAAAATTTACAATTTTATGTGTTGTTGTTTTTGTTTGTTTTGTTTTGTTTTTAAAGGTATCTAGGTTTAAGTTGAATGGCTGCCACGTGTCTCAGAATAAGGTGCGACAGTGTCATGTTTACCACTGTGTAGCATCCACTTTTCCTTTAGCAAGTGTTGGGAGAGGGTTTTGTCCCATTCTACATTTTTCATTTTATTATTTATCAAATATTTTGAGTTGGTGAAAGGACTGGATTAGGACTGCGGCTATTGGTTATTTTAGTAATCAAGTTTTCTATCAATTATTCCATCTGTTAGGAGTAATCAGAAAAAATTTATGTCTTTGTCTTATTAATGAACAATAACAAATATCCACAAGGGAAACAATGATTTCATTGGTTTCCATTGTAGAAATCGTAACGTTCTTAATAGTTTAACTGCGTACATCTGTCAAAAATAAACTGTTTCATTGTATCTTCATGTCATATTAAAATCATATTTCTTTTGAAATGCCAAAATAAAGTATCACAAATACAGTAATGTAAATAAAATAAGATGGCTTCTCCTGGATGAGGCAGATTTGGTGCATTCATGTGTTTGTGTATATAAAATCAAATATTAATTAAAGCTGAAAAATAGTGTCACTAAGGCCTTGAAATAATGATGGTCTAGTACACGCTGTCATCTGTAATTGCTTCAGGTATCACTGTGATAGAAGGTGGGGCGGCTGTTGAAGAGTCGTGTCATGTTACTGTTGCAAAATGTTCCTCCAGCTGTTCCTTTTTAGCACCAGTTACTTTGTAATTACTTTTATTACCCTGGTTACATATTCTTTGAGATCTGTTGCTGCCATCAAATTAAAAATGAGCTAATATTTTTCATGAAACTGTAAAATGTCTCATTTTAGGGAGATCTGAGGACTTGGCGTCCCAACTTTTTGGAATTATTTTAGATTTGTTACCAGAATCACATTTTCTGATCTTTCTTTCTTTTTCTCTTCTGTCCACACATTCAAAACATCAATATTGAAATTATGCAGCTCCATGTATAATGGCTAAAATGATAAACTGTAAATTACAGTGAAGTCATTAAAAAAAAGAGAGAGAGAAATTGTTTTTGTAGCACTGCAGAAAGGTATTTTTTTAGTTTAAGAAAAAAAAATATATAAAGAAAGAAATGGGGATGTCACTATACCAGAAATGTAGTAGTTGATACCAATGTGTTTGTTTATTGAACACAATTTAATACCACACTAAAGAAAAATGGGGGAAAAAGTAATGTATGAGTGATGATGATAACAACTGTAATAATGATGGTAGTATTATATTTTATTGACATGACACTAATATGAGGTTTAACTGTTAATGTCATTCCATTAGCTTAAGCATTTATACAACATTAGACATTGCCTAGCATTTAACCTTTGGTCTGAAGTTGATTTCACAATAACAGTGTCTGCTGTTTGAAACAAAATGGTAAAGAGTATTTTGGGATGACGCGAGAAGGATGACAATAACACTCTGTATGCTGTTAATATGAGCTGAAACTCCTTCAGCTTGGATTCTTTGAACAGACCTGGATAGCCATGTTTTAGGCTCTTTGCTAAATTGGAAGCGTTCCCAATGTGACTTTTACAAATCCGTTGTCACCCCTTTTTGAACCTTGTCAAGCACAAAGTACCAGCTTACCTGACTCTTATTGTGTTTCTTATCAGTGACATGCCTATAAAGCAATCAGCTCACCATATTTAAGCATTTACACTTTTCATTTTAATCAAAGGTAGCTAAATTTAAGTTTCCACCACCAGGGGCCAGGGTTTTCTTAGAAACCTTTAGTATATAAAATGCAGCCTTTGTTACGATTTTTAGGTGGTGCAGTCCTTTTTTTTAATTAATGAAAAGCTACAGCCTTTTTCTGATTTAAGTCGGTCTTATTGGAAAAATAAAAAAGAGAACAAATGGACAATAAAAGCAAACGTAGTTACTTAAAACAGATTTGCTGTTCAGCTGGCAACCGTCCATTTATGTTCACTCCATTTATGCCTGCTAAATCATTTATCCCTGTATGTGAGCACACTTCACTGTGACTCAGCTTTGTGGCTTTTACGCTGAGGTACTTTGTGCTGGGGTCCCTACAGCAGATGGATGTTTGATTTGACACCGGATGTATGTATCCAGGCTTCAGACCAGTTCTAGGAGTACACTAACTTGTGAGCCTCTGAGGCCGGGTTCGTGTCTCCTTTGATTCTTGAACCAGGGATGTTTCAATCGGTGTAGAGCCGGTGCCAGGTGCTGACACTGGTGCTAGCATTTATACCCATGTGTGGTGTGTCTTGGTTGCTCTGCAGCTTTCCCTCCAAAACATTAGTCGTGAGTTGATAATTTGCTTCTAGTTAATCATAAAAATTGTGAAGTAGCTAGAAATGCAAGAGAGAAGTCAGCTGCACCAATCGCAGGCATTGCGCGCTGCATTGATGTAGCATGCAGTTACATTTCTATGGAGGTGCATATTAGGCTACACATAAGTTGTGGTATATGGTTTCAGAAGGGTTTGCAGTTACAACAACCCTACAGCACAGATTTAATATGGAAGTATAATCCTGCTGTAAGCCGCATGTATTAACCACTTTACTTGATGCTGAAAGTGGGATCTTTCTTTTTGTTTGGAAAGATGTATCAAGCAGCTACCTACAACTACGCACATATTCTGTATATTTGTACCACACCATTAGCCTAACAGCAAGTGCATAGCCTTACATTAATAAAGCGTAACATGACAGCATTTTATTGTTTTACTCTCCAAGAGCTGTCTCCAGCAGTGGGAGTCTGCTACAACTTTTTTGTTTTGTTTTTTTTCTTCCCCCTCTGGGAGTTTGTACTTGTCATGATATGGGTTGCCTTCCAGGTGCAGACATTGTTTGGTGTCCCACTGACATTTTACCCGTTTCACGTTGGCCTGCGTATGCACTGAAAGCCACACTGACTCACTACACCGTCTTATGATAGAAGTTACTATTGCAATTCACGTCTGTTTCTGAATCCAGCTGATATCTATATAATACAAAACATAGATGCACCATCCATCCAATTCCTTCCACTTATCAAATTCAAAGTTGCACAGGGGGAGGAGCCCATCCCAGCTGTTACACAATGAGCGCACCCTGGACAGGCCACAGACGGACTGAGAAGGATGACAATTCATGCTCACATTAAGTCTAAGGCCAAATTCAAATCACCAACAATATGCATGTGCATAAACTGTGGGGCTACCCGCACTAGCATAGAGAGAACAGGGAGACTCCACAGATCCTAGCGTGCTGGTGGATGTAAACCCAGGATCTTGTTGCTTTGATGCAACACTGCTGACCACCACACAACTGTGCCATCCAGTCATTGGCATGTAGGCACGTGGCTCTCCAAGGCCCTGCCTCCGCTTTGCTCCCAGATCTACACTGGAACCTACTGGACTCACTGGTTTCCCTTTCTGTAACCAGTCCTCTTTTTAGATGCACGAAAATGTAAAATGCTACTAATGCTTTAAATCGACAGATGTTTTGGACATTAGGTCATAACAGTTGTTTCATCATTCTGCTGATAGCTGTAGTGAATAAATTTTGTATTAGATACTTTGTTTAAAGCCAGTTTCGTTTTAAATACGACTTAGCTTGTCTAGCAGAGAACACTGACATTAAAAAGTCCTTCCATGTATATCATGATCAAATGTCCATTTCTGTGCCAGCCACAAAACTCCAATACAAGAGCAGCCATTATTGAGCTGCTTCTCTCTGTTTGCAGATGTTCTGGAGTGTATACAACAACATCCCTCCAGTCACAGCCCTGCCTTTGAGATGTAGCTATCACTTAATGCGCGGAGAGCGGAGGCCGCTGTGGTGAGTCTGTAACTGTCAATATTCCAGTATTCACGGGTGTGTAGCGATGAGCAAATGAAAGAGCTCTCATGCAGCAGCTGCTGTATAATACTCCCTGATCTTGATTTTAAAAAGCCCTGTTATTTAATAGGCTGCACAGTAACGTGTTTTAATCTTTTACACAACAGGGAAGAAGAGAGTAATGCAAAGGGAGGCGTATGGAAGATGAAAATACCAAAAGAAAACACTGTATGTGCCGCCCTCTGATTATCTGCTGCCATCATGTAAACAAATCTGAATCATTCATGAGCTTTTCTGCCTTTTTCCTGTTTCAGTCTGCAGTTTGGAAAGAATTGTTACTCGCTACTATTGGAGAGCAGTTTGCAGATTACTGCGCCTCAGGTTTGTTTAGTTCTTAAAAAAAAAAAAAAAGTAAATCGCACACGTGGATTTACTGTTAACATCGCTTCTCTTTTTGACAGATGATGAGGTGGTTGGCGTCAGCGTTAGCGTCCGGGATCGGGAAGATGTTGTACAGGTGTGGAATAGCGATGCATCTCTCGCTAATGAAGCAAATATCTTGGGGAAAGTTTATGAGCTGCTCCCGTACATATCTTTTAAAGCTGTTTTTTATAAGTGTAAGTATGCCTGTTTTTGTTTCACTTGTACTTTTGAATTCACGCTAAAGGTTTAAAGAGGGAAGCAGGTACTCTCTTTATGGTATGAGGTAGATGAGAGAATAAGAGTAAACTGTGCATACTTGAAGGACCTAACCAGAACATGTAAGCATGTCACAGAATGATTTAAGAAGGGTGCATGGCTGTAGGCTGATCAGGCAGCAAATTCCCCCCATATGCCTTCTTACTTGCTTCACATAACACATTGAGATGGGCTCTTTTTGTCTCTGCCTGTTACATATTTGTAGCCAAAAATGTAATGAGCTACAGTATTTAAGTGACAGTGTATAAGTTGTAGCTGAGTTCTGTTTCCTGCGTGTGTAGTGATCTAAATTTGTGTGTCTTTCAGCTCACATGGAGCATCATGCCTTTGAGGGAGGACGCTCAAGACATTAGATTCTACTGCTGCCCCACCCCACTTTTTTTTTTTTTTTTTTTTTTTTTAACCTGAACTCTGTTCCTGCCTTGGCGTGAAGGCGCTGTCCACAACCTAATCGAGGATATTATTTTGCTCTCAACAAGGAAATGTTATTAATCTATTTTTATAACTTTTAATGACTGATGCCTTGTTTCATTTAAATGTGGGTCCTAACAGCTCGAAACTCTCGAGAGAATGTTTATCCAGCGTAAATCTCACCCCGAGTTCGTTACTTCACGTCGATTTTTTTGCCTTTCCTGCTACACTGAACTGCACTGCCACCATGGTCCCGTCATGTGCACAGACTGTGGACCTCGCAATTTTATTCCTGGTAGAGGTAGCAGCTACTTAACCTAGCTAGTTTCAGCTGTTGTGTATGTTAGACGTATGCATTCATGTCGTGTTTTAATCAAGTCTGCTTTTTCGGTGCCAAAGCACTTTCCTGCCATTTAAGGAGCTTGTATCTTAATGGTGAAGGTGTCGTTTGTATTCAGCTGGACATTTGCCACTTGGATGGAGGTGAATGTCCCAATTGGTTTCTTGAATCTTCATCAAGTGTACATCAAACTGAAATCAGGGTAACATTTCAAAGATATTGCACATAGCTGCCAGTTCCCATTATGATGTTATCTAGTTATAAAGCTGTCATATAGCACAGATGTGACATTCAGAGCCTGCATATTTGGCTTGTGATTTTATCTTTTCTTTTTTTTTTTTAACAGCGTTATCCTGTAAGGTGCCTCTAACAGCGCTCCTCTCCACACCCTGTTGGACATTTCTTTCAATATGCACGTTGAAAGACCCCGCCCCGCTCTCTTAAACGGAGACATAGATTGTTTGGGGGAGATACATGGCACATTTTTGTGCTCGGCTCTTTGGTGTTTGTCTCTACTTGTTTCTCCTACCAATAAATCTAGTAGTTTGCTTACTTGGACTGTGTCCATTAAAACACACACACACAGAGGGAAAGGGGGCTGGATTATTGGCTTAGAAGAATGTTACTGAAGGTCCTGCTTTTCCCAGATTTAGCAATGTTTGTAAAAGGAAAAAATATGATTAAGCAAAAAAACAGCAGATATGACAAGTTTCAGTTGTCATGGCATCGATGAAAAAAAAATTACTCTTATACTGTAGGTCATAATTCTGTCCCAGTCATACATTTTTATTTGTATTTTTAATTTTTTGTCACAAACCTTTTTTCTGCGTCTCAATCGGTTTCCTTCACTAACCCTGTTCCCGTGCCGTGGTTTTATTGCAGTGTAGGGCTTCAGTTACTGAAACGCTTCTGGTATGTCAGCACCACTTTTATAGTTCAACTTTGGACGGGTTGATGGTTACGAGAGGAGAATTTGTCCTTTGTAAACATATTGTGCAGCGATCCGGGCAAAGTAAATAAAATTGAGCCGAAAATGAAGTGCTCATCACCGGCGTTTCATTTTGCACAATACAAACATCAATAACAGGCCCGTTAAAGGAAATTAATGTTATTTCATGGGGAATGTCTCGGTGTATTAAAAGCTTTTGCATATCCTCAGCCACTTTGTGCTAATTCATTCTGGCAGCGCATTGATTTTGGTCCTCACACACCTTGTAATCGTAAGACCTGATTTTAATTACTGACTGGTGGTGATTATATGACTGATAACCTCAGCTTTTCAGTCATGAATTTTTAGACCTTCCATGAAGCAAGTTTGCTACTGGTAACATTAATACTGGCGTTAATTAGATGTGAAAGTTTAATCTGAAGAGAACAACTTGCTGTTGCTGTTTGGAAATAAGATGCAGGCCTCAAAATCACAAGAGGCTAAAGGATGCAAAGGATCATTACCACGTATAATCTGTGTAATGTACCTCGTGTAGCTTTCAGTAAACTTTCTCAGAGACCAGAAAGGCTCAACCCATCTAAAATGACCTCATTCACAACACAAGTAGTTGCTGCAAAGTTCCTTGTAAGTTCACTGACCCCCTCAGTCTAAATATGTGTATGAAATGTTTTGGCAATAAACACTGCAACATTTCTCCGGTCTTTAGTGAGCACTGTACAACAAGCTGGAGCGAGCGACTGTGAAATTAGGACTTTGGGGCTCTGAACATGTCTAATACCCAAGATATGATGTAAATATCCCCTGTGCAGCTCCTGGCCGTGCACAGATCCATTCCTAGATTTAGTTAAGTTACATGCTGCCTGTTTTCCTACTGATCGTGCCTGTTATGAGCAGCCAGTTGAAATGGTTTATACAGTTGTTTGTAGCTGACCATTGGCCCAGTGTGGACATAAATGGATGGACATGGTCAGCAACAATGCTCAGTTGGTACTAAGGTGCCCAAAGTGTGCCAAGAAGATATCCCCCTCACCGTTGCACCACCACCACAAACCTAAATTAGTTATATGGATGGATCCATGCTCTCACACCGTTTACATCAAATTGTAAACATGCACATGTCACAGCAGAAGTTTAGACTCATCAGATCATGCAATATTTTTCCAACCTGCTATTGTTCAATTTTGGTGAGCTTGTGTAAACTGTAGGCTTCCTGACAGGACTGTCACCCGGTCGGGTCTTCGGCTGCTGCAGCCCATCTGTTTTAGGGTACTGTTTTATATAATCAGAGATTCTTCTGCATACCTTGGTCTATAACAGATTATTTTGCCCTACTGTTGTCTTCCTATCAAAATACCCACAAACTGGAAAACGCCAGTCAATCAGTAATTCTCGGATCAGCCCGTCTGGCACCAACAACCATGCTTTGTTCAAAATCACTCAACTCACCTTTCTTCCCCATTTTGGATCTTGACCGTGCCGACATGGTTAAATGTACTGAGTTGACGCCATGTGATTGGCTGATTAGACATTTGCATTAAACAGTTAAACTAGTGTACCTAAGAAAGTGACTGGAGAGTGTATAATAAGTGTTGTTATTTTCCTGCTAAAATGTGAATTACTGACAAGAAGACTGCTTGTTAGCACTTCCTCTGGTAACAGTCACACCAAATGTCTTTGTTATCACACTGGCATTAAAAGAGCTGAAAGGAAGCTTTTGTGGGTTCATGATTGCATGTGTTTGGCAAAGATGTGTGATATGTTTCCAATTAATATGGACTGTAAATGAACAACAGTCCATGCAGCGCCTCTCGCCCTATGACAGCTGGGATAGGCTCCAGCACCCTCGTGACCCTGAAAGAGGACGGATGTATATTCCAAATGCAATATTGTTTAGGTTAGCTTTAACAGTTTAAATAGAATTTAAATAGAGTTCAAGTACAACATGGTAAGATGTGTCAAGACGATACGTAACTATGAATGGTTAAAACTGAAGCCTGTGCAGTGCCTTAAATCTGCATTCTTTTAAATGACCAGCAGGCGGTGACTTACACTTGCAAAAAGAGGAAGCATTTTAAAGGGAAGTCAGGGGGAAAACAGCATTGGTCTCTCTTAATGTGTGGTTTCAGTAAACAGTTTCCTGATGTGTTTTAGTTTTCAGTCACTTAGTCTTACTTAATGCATCATCATCTTCACTTTGTAAAATATGGTGCTGGATAAAGTAAAGAAAACTATGCATTGTTAATACAGCACCATAAAAAAATACTAAGTGCTTTGACAGACAGGCAGAAAATAAATACTCAAAGGTCAGATTTAAACAGAACGCAAGATGGCTAAACAGCTTGAGGGAAAAAGGCATCACATGTAATGGAATCAAAGAAATACATGCCTAGAAAAATGTGTTTTAACATGTGATTTTCAAGCTGGTTGCTGGTTGGTAACTTTATCTCCTCAGAAGGTCATCCCAAAGTGAAGAGGGCCATGTGACACATCAAACTTATTGGTAGTGTCACAAGAAAAACAATGGTGTGCTTGGTT